AGGCCGAATAAAAGTGGGTGACTACGAAATCGAAGAAGTGACAAAATACGCTTACTTAGGGCAAATGGTAAATATGAGCCGAGATATGAAATCTGAAATTGGAAGAAGAATAAGATCAGGATGGAAGGTGTTCAACTCGATCAAAGATGTACTGAAAGAGAAAATAAGCAAATCCCTCCGCGCTCACCTCTTTGATAGCACCGTTTCATCAGCGTTGTTATACGGAAGTGAAACGTGGGCCACAACAAAGAGGGAAGAACAACGCCTAATAACAGAGCATGGGAAGAGAAAGCTACGTTGGGCAGGCCACGTAGCAAGAATAAATGATGGCAGATGGACTCGAGCATTTGCAGAGTGGTACCCAAGGCAAATAAAAAAATCACTCGGAAGACCTCCAATAAGATGGAAAGACGATATTACAAAGAAACTGGGTAACACCTGGCAAAGGAAAGCAAGATCAAGGATCGAATGAAAATGCATTGTGGCCAGCAACGTTANAAACGTTTGATAGCCTGGCCAATCCAGGTAACATACAAATGTTATTATCAAACAGCACAACCCCATAGCCTACTTGTGTTCATCCTCTGCTTGTTCAAACAACATAAAATTATTATTTTGCAAAGTCAGAAGCAAGTCAAAAACTAGACTAGATGAAAAGTCAAAGTAGTTAAAAACTGGACTGCTGTAAAGAAACATAACAAGTCTAGTTTTTTATATAAATGAACAGAAATAATAACTTTTGCGATGACTGCTGCCACTGATGATACGATGGGTGCGATGTGTTTTGACTCATTTCTGAATTAATACCATTCCAATCCCAATTACTTTCTGCATTCATCCCACTGAAAATGTTAAGTAGACATATCAGTAAATAGATGACATTGGATGTATGACAGCACAAATGGGTCTACGACATTCGACCAAGCGACGACTGTCAGCACGTCATTTAGCCAACAAGTAGTCGGTCACACAAACTTCGTCTAGTTCGCTTTTTGAGCAGTGCGAACGCACGATCACCATTTTGTATGTTTAATATAAAAAGCGTATTACAGAGGCTTAACCTCAGTCTAAGCGTAGCCCCAGCCTCAACCTAAGTGTAGCCTCAGCCTCAGTCTGAGCTTGAGGCTGAGGCTACGCTTAAGCTAAGGCTGTGTCGGCCATAGTGCTGTTGTACTGCTGCACGCTCGCTGTTTTGCCCCTCAAACGACACCAGTACCATAAAATAGTGATAAACATTCTCGAAAAATATCACATAGTCCGTGTTTTATATCACACACAAAATGGTGATCGTGTGTTCGCACTACTCAAAAAGCGAAGCCAAACGAAGTTTGTGTGACGGACTACAGGTTGGCTAAATGACGTGCTGACAATTGTCGCTTGGTTAATTATCGTGTTCCCCGATTGTTCGCCCAACTGACGTGGAACATGTGGAAGCGTCATCGCTAACTATCTACCACATTTGTGCAGATCATCTGGTTGCGACTATCTCTTTTAACTCATAACAGCGCAACTTAAATCCATAGTTTCGACGATGGTTTCATTCACTGTTATATTTGACATCTTTAATATGTGTAGCTAATTGTAAGTGATGGATTCATCATAGAAAATGCTGTACCTAACATAAGTAGACACATAATGAAAAGGCGATATCACATACGTAAAAGAGGGAATGAGACAAAATACAACAAATGAGAGATGCGATGTAATCAATGGACGCAGACAGTGACGTTCAAATGAGAGATCTTGGACTTAAAATTGGCACTTTTTTACTTGCGGGGGAGGGGGTTCGCACGCGAGCATGCTCGCGTGTAACAACCGTGTAACAACGTGTAACGATGCCACACCTACTGCGCATGGCCTCAGCCTCATCTAAGCGTAGCATCAGATCACGACGCGAGCTAGCAAGCGCGTTCAGGTCCAGGCTTAGACTGAGACTACGCTTGGGCTGAGGCCATGCGCAGTAGGCGCGGCTTCAGTCCATCTGAAAGCGTCGCTCATATCGTGCGAGCGTATGTGTGTATCGTTGTATGCGAGCGTGCTCGCGTGCGACTCCCCCCCCCACAAAGTAAAAAAGTGCCGTCAGTCTAACTTCATTGAAGCACGGCGCATATTACAAGAAACGGAAACACATGAAATGTAACCATCAACAATGCACTTATAAATCTTTCGCCACAATGCACTTCTAAATTTTAACGCAGCACCGTGTACCACACAAAGTCGTTTCGAAGTCAGTAACAGAATTAAACCATATATAGGGCGTACTGTCGTCTTTGAGAAAATTAAAGGCTTTTAAGTGCGCCTTATAGTCAGGAAAATGCGGTACGTGTAAACTTATAAGATCATGATGTATCATAGTGCCGCTTCTGTAATACGCACTCAAAATGACGGGCATTTGTTTGCACTATCCATAATCAAACCGAAATGAAGAGTGTGGAACTGGATAGCCGAAAAATACGCCATGAAGATACTACTTGTCAAAAGACTAAATATCCATTAACACCTGAAGCACAATCGNGAGCCATAATGGCTAAATAAACGATGTTTAGCATTTCATACTCATTCTTGCATATAGCGCCGGATTGCATCTGTAATAACCAGCGAGAATCCCAAATATGCGATGGGTAGAACACATGATATATTGTTTTTTGGATGCGCCCATAACACGCCTTTGTTTGGAACACGATGTCGCCAATCGTTCCAAGTCAATAAAATGCATGTTGCTGCTCGCTTGGATAAATTGGCAATGAATTAGTTTATTTTAAAGATGGGCCAGTTAGCAAATCAAGAGAGTGAACGATCCCGAGATGAACAGTTGATGTAGAGGCAGATTTTGCGTTGCATCGGGCAACTCTTGAAACTCTCTCGTACGAGCGGTTGTACATCGCAACTTTACGCGCTTCACCATTTCGTCTTATGAGAAAATTTCCCCAAAAATGAGCATGACATCAAAATATATCAATAACAATAAACTAACTGTTTATTAATGGCAGCTGCACAACATATGTGAAGTAGTGAATAACAACATAAAATAAATACGATGCGGTAATATTAAGCAGAGTATCGTCGATTCATGAGTTTCCTATGAAGTAAAAAATAAGTACATTCCATGAAAATGAGTATCAGATAAGAATGAAATGAGAGTTATTTCATTAACGCGTTTCAAATGCAAATCGTATTATGAATGCACCCGAGAGATATTTGAATATCAGTGCGGTATGTGACGCACAAACCATATGAGTATAACACGAAATCAAATTATAATATATATATAGCAAATTATGTTCCATGAAGGCGATGTTGGCTGCATTCATCCTCCCCTACGCCTTCCATTTGCAGCACCAAAGTTCATTCAGAATTATTCGTATGCGCGGAAATAATTCATGACGATTGGTGAACTGGATTTGAATGTTGCTGGAAGATGAGACTGGCCCTTACAAAACAATTCAATCATGAATATCAGAAAAATCAATAGATTCGACCGGAATCTTAATTGTGTCATTTGTACTGCACAATTATCAAATAACTTAAACTGATTTTGTTGCTGAAAGTTAGAACTGTCTGTTATTATAGACACTGAATGTAAGAACAAACCAAGTTTGAACAGGCGTCCGGGCTAACGAAAGTAATGTAAAGAATGTTAAAAATTTACAATACCAATTCATCACTGACATAACGATGAAAGAAATGATTGATAAGAAGTGTGCATAAAATAATAGGAATAGCGAAAAATTAAATGCAAATGAATAGTTGTTGAATGGATGCAGTTCAAGGTGAAGTTGTCTTACGGATAGGAATGCAAATGAATGTACGGCGATGACGGTGCAGAAGTAGAAAGGAGTGATGTGATGACTGAGTTATATCAATTATAAGAATACATACCTGGGTGAGTGTATAAGGGGGTGGAGGAACTGGAATGGCCCCTGACCGATGAGTGCTGTAAAGACGAACAGGTTCGCTGAATCGTCTAGTAGTTGCAGGGAAAGCATTCGAGCGTTTCACACTGGTGGGCGTTGTAGTGCTTTGCTCAGCGTCTTCATCGATAACACTTACATTGCATATCAATCTGTATTTCTTGTCAACATGCACTTCACATGACATAATATGACGACGACGAATGAAAAGGCAGTATACTACCTCTGCATGCGTTCTCTGGAGATGTTCATGCCGTCGTAAAACATTGAACGCACATCCTCATCCCTCACCGCCGGTACCAACTCTGTGATCTCTCGATGCACTCTGAAGATCGCATCACACTCCCGCGATATTTTACAGTACGAATCTGCTATTCCCTTGAATGCACCTCTTATTACACTCAAAGTTTGCATTTATAATTTCTGAATCATAAAATCATTATAATAATGACAATAATAAACCTGCATTCCACTCCGAAATCTGAACATCTTCACCACTTCCATCTCAGCAATCACATCTGACAATATTTGTGATGCAACTTCTTTTGAACTAATTACCTTAATTTTATATAACATTATTATAAACACATGATTGTCAATCGGTTACACTATTATAATAATAATAGCAATATACATAATACATTAGTACATAAATACTTTCGCTTACGAAGAAAATTTTCGGCGGTACCGATCAAATTTAGAGAATCTATGGTCATGCTTTCAAGTGGAATACGAGGATTTATGATGGATGTTGATCGCTTTTTGGCAGCCTTTGACTTAGGTTCAATAAATAGTTCAGTTTTTTGGAAAAGCATTTACGAACAACTTGCTGCAAGTAATTGCGTTTTATGATAACCTGCTCAAGTTGTTGTCGTAATAAATACAGATGTCCACCTTTGCGTTGTTTACTGAACACAGATGACGAAGCTTTGCTGACATCTCTTTTCAATTTATGTTCTTTTTCACTTAACAAAGTCACTTCTCGTCGCGCACTCTCAACGGCCTTATCCGCATCACAAATCTTTTCCAACTGCTAAATGTCAATGTCATTATTGACAATACTCTCCAACAAAATCTCAACTTTTTCACTCAGTCATCAATCAACATTTCTAGAGTGACTTTTCGCCCTCAACTTTTCAAATGTTAAGTAGCAATTTTACGAAACTACTACAGAAATTTTTTTGATCAGTAAGGAAACACTTACGAAGTTATATTTTCCAAAAGAGCAATAAACAAACCTTAATAAAACCATCGAAGTCATTCGCAAATTTCAGTTGTTTATCACTGAACAATTGGAATAACTGATTCGTATGCTGCATAACATCCACAATTGCCACATTGTTTGTTTGCTTCGCCCAATCCAGTAGCAATTCGGAGCCTCTGCGTTGTGTTTCAGCGATTTTCTTCACTAATTTACTAAAATCACTCTAAGTATACATACAGTTCTGTCAGGGCAGCTCAACATGCAAACAAATTCAAAACAGCTACGGAAAGGAAAGGAAAATAGCAGCAGTTCAGCACTTTTCCGCACTCAGTGTAATGATCAACATTTGGCGCCGGAGCTCCGAAAACTGAAAGGGGCTGGGGTGGCGAAAGATCCCATTATACAAGGCCGCGACTTTGGATTTCACGAGGAAAGACCGGAGGATCCAACCTTTCGTTCCTAACTCTAATGACAATATAATAATAATAATAATAATAATGATAATAATGAATACTGACACAGTCATGAAGAAATGTTCCAACGCTGAATTGAATGCATTAGAACTGGACGGATGATTTGAGATACTACCAAATAGAATATGGGATAAGTTTGATGCAGACATTCTTCGTTTATCTAAAATATACAATCAGTAATTTATTTATTGGAGAATATTAAATATGTAACTAACTTTGTGCAGCTGTCTGGGAATCGCACATAGATGAATGACTTTTACTACCTAACAGTGCTAATGATGCAGTCCTGAAATGAAACGTGTATTGCAATAAAATATCTATCAACAAAAATAACGGATAGGTATGAGAAACGTGAATGAGCAGAATAAAATGGAGAGTCTGAGAATAACGAACACCTTCGTGGAGGAGTGAAGTAGCATGCAATACCGCTTTGATAATCGTTCATCAGTGACATAACAAATCAATACCGATATTGGATATAATTACAAAAATATTGTAAACTATGAGCAGTTAATGCGTGAATATTGATGAATACACTTCAAACATATGCAAATGGCGTTGGTCAGGCGGGAAGGAAGGGTTTACGGCAAATGACCAAGCGACAAGTGTAAGCACGACATTTGTCCAGCACGTAGTTGGTCACACAACCTTCATTTAGGTTCGCTTTTTGAGCAATGCGAACGCATGCTCACCACTCTGACTGTGTTGTATAAAACGCGTATTACTGAGGCTTAGCCTCAGCTTAAGCGTAGCCTCAACCTCAGCCGGCACTATCCTATTCTGGGGGGTCGCACGCGAGCACGCTCGCACACAAGGATACACACATACGCGGGAACACGACAATTGACCAAGCGACATCTGTCAGCACGACGTTTCGCCACAAATAGTCGGTCACACAAACTTCGTTCGCGAACGCTTAGGCTTACGCTGAGGCTACGCTTACGTTGAACCTAGACGAAGTTTCTGTGACCGACTATTTGTGGCGAAACGTCGTGCTGACAGTTGTCGCTTGATCAATTGTCGTAGACCCACACATACGCTCGCACAATATGAACGACGCTTTTACATGGACCGACGCCACGCCTATTGCGCATGGCCAGAGCCCAAGCGTAGTCTCAGCCTAAGCTTGAGCCTGAACTCGCTTACTAGCCCCTGTTGTGATCTGATGCTACACTTCGATGAGGCTAAGGTCACATTTAGGCTGAGGCCATGCACGGTAGGTGTGGCATCGGTTGTTATACGCGAGCGTGCTCGCGTGCGACCCCCCAAAGTAAAAAAGCACCTCAGCCTTTGAGGCTACGCTTAGGCTGCCCCTCAGCCTAAGCGTAGCTACGCTAAGGCTACGCTTAAGCTAAGGCTGAGCGTCAGCCATACTGCTGTTGTGCTGCTGCATGTCCGCTGTTGTGCCCCCTCAAACGACACTAGTATCATAAAACAATGATAAATACTCGAAATATATCATATAGCCCGCGTTTTATACTACACATACAAAATGGTGAACGTGCGTTCGGACTGCTCAAAAAGCGAAGCGAAACGAAGTTTGTGTGACCGACTACATGCTGGACAAACATCGTGCTTACAATTGTCGCTTCGTCATTTGTCGTGCTCCCGGGAAGGAAACGGTATGAGAGAGTGAGGGAGATCAGAAAAAGGGAGAAAATTAGGAGGAGGAATGACCGATAATTGGACCCTGGACAGCGGGTCCACGACAATGTGCCACTCTAGCGCGTGCACTGTCATTGAGTAGAATGCGCACGTCGCATCATTTTTGTCGGAGTTACATTTCGTCGCGCATGCATTTGTCGGTCACCCTGACATCTGTCGCCGCGCCAGTCCGTCACCCAAACTTCGTTTCGGTTCGCACACTCAATGGCAAACATGCGTTCGCACCGCCGAGGTATCGAACCAGAGCGAATGTCTTGCACTCTTTATACACACACTCCGTATTTATACATGCACCGCGAACTCGTCTAACGAACCTCCAGCACTCCTAATAGTCACCCCCACCTTCAACCAAGCAACTGACATTTCACAAATACGCCCTACCATCCCTTTCCAAAACCCCGCAGAAATAATTTCTCCGCCTCCATACAACACCGAAGTCGAACAACATCACCCAAATCGACAGAAACAGTTTACTTAACATAGCCAAACACCAACAATTCATTTAGCTTTCCTTAGCAGTAGATTGGTGCTATACCACTGACCCAATAAAAAATAGATGAAACACCAATTCACTGCAACACCAGATAACCACTATTATATTGTGACTGTGACAAATATATATTAATATCAAATATACGAGCACGCGCGATTAACAGCAACACGAGATCTATTTAAACTTAATAACCAAACAACACCAACAAAACAAACGAAGTGACCGCTCTGCAATACATTTAATCTCACACCTCAAGCTCATCCACTAATATCAACCCAACGTAAAACACTCTTTCCTGAACAACATCCACCTCAAACATCCTCAAAGTTTCTTGCAACAGCAGCGTAGCACCAAACAACGACCCTCTCTCAAAGCAGTCACACGAATGAATCAATCAAATTTGGCATCGGTACAACACATCAAATCATATCCAATCAATCGACTTCTTCCATCCGTGATGCGTCTTCCTCAGCTCCTTCGAGAGGTGGCATCTGTTCATCCTTTTCCCCAGAGCTTGATGGAACAGGCTCATCCTCGTCCTCTTCGACAATATCCAATCCCAACTGAAATAATGATATTCAAAACCTCTCACCAACTTGCCAATAATAACTAAAATTCAATGAGCAAATGAAAGTTTCCAAACCAAACTCCAACAGGTGAATGCAAACTGGAATGAACACGAAGCGAAACCACCCACCTTAATCATACGATATATTCTGGACGCATGCAACTGAGGATCGTCCAATGTGAAGCCGGACGATAGAAGTGCAGTTTCGAACAACAACACCACCAAATCTTTAACAGTCTTGTCATTCTTATCGGCCTCAACCCGTTCGCGCAACGCCTTTATCACTGAATGATCAGGATTGATCTCCAAGTGCTTCTTTGCAGCCATATAACCCATTGTTGAAGAGTCTCGCAACGCCTGTGCCTTCATGATACGTTCCATGTTGGCTGACCAGCCGTATTCTGAAGTGACGATGCAGCAAGGTGATGAGACCAAACGATTCGAAACGGCCACTTTCTCAACCTAAAATGCCACCTCAGCAATTTCACATTACTGTTAACACCTCAAACACAAAACAATCAAATCTCACCTTCTTCTCGAGGATGTCCTTGATCACCTTGCAAAGATTCTCGTACTTGACCTTGTCCTCCTCATATTTCTTCTTTTCATCCTCGCTCTCCGGCAGCTCCAAACCTTCTTTCGTCACCGATACCAACTTCTTGCCGTCATATTCTTTTAATTGCTGCACACAGTACTCATCGATAGGGTCAGTCATATATACCACCTCAAATCCACGTCTTCGGACACGCTCCACGAATGCCGAACTTGACACTGACTCTTTAGATTCACCCGTGATGAAGTAAATTTGCTTCTGCTCCTCTTTCATACGACTCACGTAATCTTTCAACGAGCACATCTCCTCAGCCGAATTCGATGTGTAAAATCGCAGAAATTCTGATAATTTCTTGCGGTTCGTCGAGTCTTCATGAATGCCCAGCTTGATGTTCTTGGAGAACTGCTCGTAAAATTTCTTGAAATTATCTTTGTCCTCAGCGATCTCGTCGAACAGTTCGATACATTTCTTCACCAAATTCTTGCGAATAACCTTCAGAATCTTTGATTGCTGCAACATTTCACGCGAGATGTTCAATGGCAAGTCCTCACTATCCACCACACCCTTGATGAAGTTCAAGTATTCGGGCATCAGCTCATCGCAATTCTCCATGATGAACACACGACGAACGTACAGTTTGATTGCATTCTTAGTTTTCTTGTTCTCGAATAAATCGTATGGTGCACGTTGTGGGACGAACAGCAATGCGCGGAATTCGAGTTGACCCTCAACCGAGAAATGCTTCACCGCCAAATGGTCTTCCCAATCATTCGACAGTGACTTATAGAACTCGGCGTATTCTTCATTGCTGATGTCATCAGGGTTACGTGTCCAGATTGGCTTCGTCTGAAACCAAACTAATTTTGAAATTTTGAAACGCTGCATTGTCATCACTCTAACTTTAACGACGCACATATAAGCAACTGCAACATTCAGTTGTATTTTCCGCGTATTACAGCATCCACTCTGCAATTACTATCATTCAATCAATAGGCTACTCTCAATCAATACCTTGTTCAATTCCTCGTCTTCGCAGTACTTCTCCTTGATCTTCTTCTTCTTCTTCTTTTCCTTGTCCTTCTTATCCTCATCTTCGTCCTCTCCAACATCTTCCACCTCACCTTCCTTTTTCTGTTCTTCTTCCTTCTTCTCTTCTTCTGCTTCGTCATCTGACACCTCCTTCTCTCGCTCTTTCTCCACCGTCTGAAATCAGCAACAACTCAATCAATAAATATCGAAACTCAACCAAAAGAATATCTAGAACCTTACCAGTTTGATAGGATATCCGATGAACTGTGAGTGCTTCTTGACGATCTCCTTAATTTTGCGTTCTTCCAAATACTCCGTCTGATCCTCCTTCATGTAGAGAGTGATCTTTGTACCGCGTGTCATTTCAGGATCGTTCACCTGACGGATGATGAACGAACCTCCAGCAGACGACTCCCATTGATAGCAGTCGTCATCGTTGTGCTTCGAAGTTACTGTTACTCTATCCGCAACTAGGAACGCAGAATAGAAACCCACACCGAACTGACCGATCATTGAAATATCAGCACCAGCCTGCAAATATCACTTATATCACGAAACCAAAATTTATACTATGAGACTACTAAAATCCGAACTTGCTGTTGAGATTTAGTAGTTGAGACTCTCATCTGAAACTCAACCTTACTCATCAGGATGGAACATGTTTACCTGAAGAGCCTCCATGAATGCTTTCGTGCCAGACTTCGCGATCGTACCCAAATTATTGACCAAGTCTGCCTTCGTCATACCTATACCAGTGTCCATGATAGTCATTGTCTTGTCCTCCTTATTGGGCGTGATTTTGATGTAGAGCTCTTTGCCAGTGTCGAGCTCATTTGGCTCGGTGAGTGCTTGATAACGGATCTTATCCAACGCATCTGACGAGTTTGAGATCAGTTCACGAAGAAAGATCTCTTTGTTACTGAAAACAATACGAACGTTTCAATCAACCACTCAAAAACTCTTCGTACCTCCTAAAAATACATCCAACTCACGTCACAAAAGAAACTGAACAGTGATCTCATCAAGCATTCGTATCAAACTAAAATTCCAAATATGCACCGCACCTATAAAAGGTATTGATGATAAGACTCATCAGTTGCGCAATTTCCGCTTGGAATGCGAACGTTTCGCCTTCTCCTTTCTGATCAGACATTTTGATCACTCAGGTTGCTTGTCCGAGATGCGATATCAACGAAGCTGCAACCAATAGATAAATACTAAACGACATCATTTCCAAATACCAAACACGCACGATCTCACAATAACACGTTTACGACCCATGAAGTTCTACATTCGTGAGCCTCACACCATAATAAATCTCCACCTCAACCCATAAAACTCAATTCAACAATATCCGATGTAAACCTTGAATGAACTGCTACCATAGCTTTACCAAAACCTTGACATAACCATATTATCGAATAAATAAGCGAATCATTAACCATCCTCATAGCCTCAATTACAATAATACCAAATTGTAACGAGAACCTTATCAATCAATCAATCCACGCAGCAACACCCCAACCCACCGCACGATTACTCACACCAAAATGAAATAACGATTTAGGAGCGAGCGCGCTATTAATATAAACTTGCATAGAATGTTCTAGAAGGTGGGCGTGGCTAGTGCGATCGACCAATCAAAGCAGTGGCGACTATTAGGGATGGAAATTTCGAGAACGAACTTCTCACATCCGAGTGCGTTTTGTTCTCCTGAGTCATGAACGGTTTGTAATCGGGCGGAGTGGGGAGGAAGGGAGGAAAGGGAAGGGTGGAAAAGTTTTAGAAGTTTTCGGGTGGAAAAAAAGAAACAGTACACGAAGTACTCAAAATGATTGTGATTATATGAACAAAAATAATATTACGCTACCATCACCTTAACCAAATAGATTTAATAATAAGTCCGCCGCTTGGTAAGTGCACGCCAAATTAAAGCAGCAAGGAGAATACAAAACTAAATCACACTGAAAATGTAAGTAAGAAATAAATTATCGTGATGATAAAGCTGATCACAGTAATCAAATATAAAATGTCGGGTACTTGTGCTGTTTAGTCCCTCCACCCGTACGCAATATCACGCGCGCGTGCGCGTAGCCACGCCTACTGGATAAGCCTAAGCCTAAGCCTGATGCCGAAGTCAGCGTAACAGAATGGGTGTGGNCGGTGTTGTTGAAAGCGCAAATGGTGTCTGCGTGCGGGTGGAGGGACTAAACAGCATAAGTGCCAAATGTCGCACTGATGGATATCAGTAATTCTTCCAAACTGCCTTGGTTCGATTCTGAGCAATCAAAACAACCCTTGAAATACAATTGCAAACGAATGTCGTATTTCGCAACGTTATAGATTAGTGTTTGCACGGCATCCCGAGCTTGGCATCCCGCGCGAACACAAAAGAAAGAAGAGCCTAAGCCTTCAGTCGCTGTACTCTATTAAAAGAGCAGCCAATAGAAGAAACCATCAGCACTTTTTTACTTTGGGGG